GACCAATCCGAAAAAAAATTTGGTAGAATGATTTATATGCTCACAAAACATATTCAAGTTTATCCCGATAGCTTTATTATTCAAAGAAATATATGCGTTTAAGTGATTTTCGTAAGTGGACCCTCTATGGGAGCCTATCCTGAAAAAATTTCGTAGAGTAATTCATATAAAGACAAAACATATTTGTGTCGAATTTTACCAAGATAACTTTATTTGACAATGAAATATGTGCCTTTAAGTGATTTTTAGAAGTGGGACTTATGTCGGAGCTATGACCAATAATGGACCGATCCAGGAAAAAGTGGTAGAATGATTTATATGTACACAAAACATATTTGTGTCGAATTTTATCCTTATAGCTTTAGAATTTAATGAAATTTATGCGTTTAAGTGATTTTCGGAAGTGGACCTTATATTGGAGCTATGACCAATTATGAGCCTATCCGGAAAAAATTTCGTAGAGTGACTCATATAAAGACAAAATATATTTGTGTCGAATTTTATCAAGATAGCTTTATTTGATAATGAGATATGTGCTTTTAAGTGATATTCGGAAGTGGGCCTTATATGGGAGCTATGACCAATAATGGACCGATCCGTAAAAAATTTAGTGGAATGATTTGAATGTACACAAAACATATTCAAGTCGATAGCACAAAACATATTCCCGATAGCTTTAGAATTCAATGAAATATATGCGTTTAAGTGATTTTCGGAAGTGGACCTTATATGGGAGCTATGACCAATTATGGGCCCATGCGGAAAAAATTTAGTAGAGTTATTCATATTTATAAGACATATAAGACAGAACAGCAGTGCTGTCCAAAATTGGGAAAGTGTCGATTAAAAAGACTGCTCTTCCTATGCCTGATAAGGACACCGCAGTGCCATCAATGGTACCCACTGCATCAATAGCCACTTCAGGTTACCCGGAGGAGTCAAATCCAACGAGCGGGGATGTGATCACTAGCTCGCTGGAAGACAGTTTAAATGGATGACAATGATTGAGGTTATCCAAATAAACCTCCATCGGAGCGAGACAGCTATCAACGCTCTGATGGCTAAAATTAACACAGGTAAGATACATATAGCTTTAATCCAGGAACCTTGGACGATTCGCAACAAGGTTTCTGGATTAAATCACGTAAATTTCCAACTTTTCTACGCTGATACAGGGTCTCGACCGAGAACATGCATCTTATGTCACAAGAATTTATGTTTTGTCCTCTCAACAGGATTATCCACATCGGAAGCAACGGTACTGAAGCAAGGTCGTGGCAACATATACCTTGCATCTGTTTACCAGCCTTTCGATTCTCCGACACTACCTCCAACGTCGGAGCTGATGAAACTGGTCGAAGAGGCACAAAGGCAAAATAAGAAAATTGTAATAGGTTGTGATGCCAACTCCCACCATGTAGCTTGGGGTAGTACAAACTTAATACTAAAGGCTTGATCACATCGAACTTAGGTAATAAAGCTACCTTCGTCAATAGAATCAGAGAAGAAGTATTAGATATAACTATATGTTCAGAAGAGCTTATAAACGAAATTCAGGATTGGAGAGTTTCGGACGAGCACTCCTTTTCTGACAATCGGTACATAAGATTCAAAATACTACGGCCGCCACCAAAGCCGATAAAGTTTCGGAATAAGTCTAAAACTAATTGGACAATGTTCAGTTCCTTACTAAAGAACCGTTTATGTCAGAAAACTTTTCAATGTCAAAAAAAAGAGGACATAGACGCCAAAGTAGAAATGCTCACAAGTGCCTTGGTTGAATCGTTCGAGGACAGCTGCCCTCTGCGAGAGCGGAGATCTGCCCAGGAGAAACCCTGGGTAACCGGGGAGATCCGGAACCTTGGTAAAACTCTTCGCAAACTATTTAACCGGGCACGGCGTAAAAAGACCGCAGTATACTGGGATGAGTATCGTAGTAAACTTGGTGAATATAAGAAAATTGTTCGTAAAGCCAAACGAGACTCCTGGAAACTTTTCTGTGAACAGGTAGACAGCGTAAATGACGTATCGAAGATAAAAAAATTCCTATCCAAAACTCATGTCCAACCAGAATCTATGGTCGATGATACGGGTAGGAGGCTGGAGGATATGGAGGAGACAATGAAACTCCTAATGGACTCTCATTTTCCACCCGGTATATCGAATAACATAGATGAACCGATATTGGAGGAAGGGGAGGCTAACACGGAAATTGTAATTACATCTGATATGGTTAAAGGGGTAATCAAGGGCTTCGCTCCCTATACAGCTGCAGGGCCGGATGGCATTTTCCCGGCACTCTTACAGATGGAGGCGGGACTCGTTTCCGTACATCTGTCTCAGATATTCACTGCATGCTTGAAATTCACATATTTATACCTAAACCAGGGAAACCTAGCTATTCGACACCTAAGTCTTATCGACCGATAAGTCTTAAGTCCTTCCTACTTAAAATCTTGGAACGGATAGTTGATAGTATGGTGAAAAGCAGTATACCCGACAAAGACCTAAAATTTAAGCAGCATGCTTATGTAAAGGGACGATCGGTGGAAACCGCTTTAAACGAAGTTGTCCACTACATAGGTTCATCCTTTGATAGCAAACTGTATACACTGGCGGTATGCATTGACATCGAAGGCGCCTTCAATAACGTGCACACTGATACTCTTATCCAATTCCTAGACCAGTTTTATGTTGACCGGGTGCTCCGTAACTGGATCAACCACATGCTAAGGAACAGATGGATAAGCTGCGAGATGTACGATATAACTATCAGGAAAAAGGTATTTCGCGGTATACCACATGGTGGCATTTTGTCACCTTTACTCTGGGTTACCACGATTAATAGCCTCCTAAGGACCCTAACTGAGAAAGGACTTAGACCTGTCTGCTATGCAGACAATCTCGTAATACTTTTAAAGGGAAAGGATCCAAATTACTTGTGTAGAAGAGCTGAGGTGGCTCTGAATACAGCCTTGAGCTCGGCTCAACCGAGAGGCCTCAATGTTAACCCGGAAAAACGGAAATCTGTCTTTTCACAAGAAAGACAAAAATTTCTACGTATACTGAACCTTGCTTCCTGGGCAAGAAGATACCAGTGACAGACAAAGTTAAGTACTTAGGTGTAATCCTCGACCGGAAATTAAAATGGAGACACCACATAGAGGATAGGATCAACAAGTTACATCGGTGCTGGGCGATATGTAGGAGAACTATAGGCATGAAATGGGGTCTTAGTCCTATTATGAAAAATTGGCTTTATAAAAGTGTTATTAGACCAATTCTAGCTTATGCTTGAATAATCTGGTGGACTGCTTTAGACAAAAAGTGCAATATCAAACTACTACAGGGAGTTCAGCGTACATGCTGCTTGGGTATAAGTGGTGCCATGTGTACTACTTCAACCAAGGCTCTGGAAACGTTGCTAGATATTCCAACCATTGAAACATATTTAAGATATGAGGCGGCGCTTACAGCCGAACGGCTCTTTACTTTAGGCGAACTGGCCAAAAGCGGTTATAGGACACGTCATCAATATATACTGGACACATTGGAAGGTTATACACAATCATCGGACGTGCCTGATCGTATACCAGACACAGAATATGTCGGAAACTTTGAAACGCTGATCCCAGATAGAATGTCTTGGTCAAGCGGAACATTAGAGCAAATACCATTAGGAATCCGTTGTTACACGGATGGCTCTAAATTGGGGGACAAATTGGGGCTGGGTTTCTATATTGAAGACCCAGAAACTGAAATATACCACCGTTTACCAAATCATAACACAAGCTTCCAGGCAGAAGTACGAGCAATAACGGAATGCGTAAATTGGATTAGAATAAATATGGCGCCCACAGCGCTTAATATATTTACCGACAGCCAGAAGGCAATTAGGGCGATATCAGGCGATAGAACTAAATCTAAGACCGTATTGGATTGTAAGAAAGCTTTAACTGAATACTCTCCCAGAGGTAAGGTTCACATCATATGGGTACCAGCCTACTCGGGAGTAGTCGGTAACGAAAGGGCGAATGTAATAGCTTTAAAGGGAAGGGAGCTCGAGGCAGTTAACCTGACAAACGCAAAACCATTCGACGCAACAAAAGCTGAACTAAAAATATGGGTGAGAGAATCCCATAAGGCCTCTTGGAATAATGAAACAGTGGGTAGAACCACGAAGATCCTATGGGGTGACCCTGATGAGAGCAAGACGAAAAATCTCCTCAAAATGAGCAAGTCTGAAGTTAGTATGATGGTACGTATTCTGAGTGGACACACAGGACTACGAGCACATCTATGCAAAATTGGACGTGCGGATTCAGACGAAAGTAGAGCATGGGGAGAGGACAGTGAAACTCTGGAGCACTTTCTTTGCCACTGCCAGGCATTCGTCGAAGTTAGATCCAAGTATCTTGGAAGTGATGTTATTCCGGAAATAACATTCCTGACTAACACTGATTGGTAGATTCTTAGGAATCACGTTCATTAAACTGAGTTTCTGAACACTGAAAAATAATTCTTTTTTTTTCATGATAAGGAGCGCACAACAGGCCCGAGTATTTCTTCGGATTTGATGTAGTATACATCCTCCTATCGACCTACCTACCTATTCATATTTAGACAAAATATATTTATGTCGAATTTTATTACGATAACTTTATTTGACAATGAAATATGTGTTTTTAAGTGATTTTCGGAAGTGGACCTTATATGGGAGCTATGACCAATTTTGGACCGACAGAGATCTACGTTGATGGTATTGTTGTATATGTAAACACCCTCTTTATTTAATGTGTAAACACCTTATTAGTTTTAATAAAGATGCTTGATCATACATCAATCATATGCTTGTGTAAACACACCAAAACATAAAGTATATGATTGTTGTATATAATCATTCTATTAGAATCAATACATGGTGTCAGAAGTGGCTGCGTAAATAAAATTTGCGAATAGAATATATAAAAAAAAAATTTTAAAACAAACTTAAAACGATAATGTCGACTAATGAAGAAAAACACAATTCCAGTGAAGCTAGTGGACAGTTGTGCAATGTGACACTGTCGCAGATAAATCTAAGAGCGAGCAATATGGCTAGGGAATGGAAGATGTGGCATACACAATTTAAAATATTTCTGAGAGCTTCCAATTTAGAAAGTGCTTCGGATCAACGTAAGGTGGCTCTTTTACTCCATCATCTTGGTAGCGGTGCTTTGGACATTTTTTATTCATTTAATGAAGATGTCGACACGGTCGGTTATGAAAATCTTGTGTCAAAATTTGAATTATACTTCGTACCAAAAGTTAATATTGCCATGGAAAGGCACAAATTTTTTATGTGTCAACAACAAGCTGACCAGTCAATTGATGATTATGTCACTCTTTTGAGAAACCTAAGTCTCAGTTGTGAATTTGGTACCTTACGGGAAAGCCTGGTAAGAGATGTATTTACATGTGGTCTCTCATCAAGAATGGGACATGTACGAGAAAGGTTGCTGTCGGAAGGTGGAATTAGCCTTGAGAAAGCTATTGATATAGCCAAAAGCATGGCAATAGCCAAAGAAAACTCAAAAACCCTACAACAAATGGATGATCCAGAGATATCTATCAATTATTTGGGAAACAAACAAAAAATGAAGCAGATGAACATGAAGAAACAATCCAATGTGAATAATTGTACAAGATGTGGTCAGGTACATAACAACAGGTGCCCAGCATTAAGGGTTAAATGTCATAATTGCGGTAAAATGGGACATTTTGAGAAGATGTGTTTTTTAAAGAAAAAATACGTAAAATATGTGTATGCAGATGATGAGGTTGACAAGGAAGAAGAAGAAGAAGACTTGTTTGTAGGTGCGCTGTCTAGAAAAACATCAAAAGTCGAGTGGAATGTGGAGGTAAACATAAACAACAACAAAATTGTATGTCAAGTTGATACGGGGGCGCAGGCAAACATTATGTCTTTTGAGACCATCAACATATTAAATATGAAACATATGATTAAAAATACGAATGTTAAAATATTCACATTTAGCGGTGAACTGTTAAAAGTGCTAGGTTTTGCTGATTTGTCAGTGATTTATGAAGGTCAAATATTTAACATAAAATTTTACATTGTTAATATTATTTGTCGAAATATTATCGGACTTGAGTCTGCCATAAAGTTGAATTTGATTAGGAATATAAATATGATTGAATATGGGAATTTGAGAATTAATAAATTGATTGAAAATTATTCCGATATTTTTAATGGTCTTGGCCTTTTGCAAAATAAGTGTAATTTAAAAATACGTGAAAATATTTCGCCTATTGTAGATCCACCCCGCAAAATTCCATTTAAATTACATGACAAGCTTAAAAATGAATTAAAAAGAATGACTGAATTAAACGTTATAGAACCGATTAGTGAGCCAACAGAGTGGGTGAGTTCTATTGTTATTGTATCGAAACCAAATGGCAGTTTAAGGATTTGCTTAGATCCAAGAAACTTGAACAAAGCTATATTGCGTCCTCATTTTCCTTTTCCGAATATTGAGGATTGTAAGTCTCGATTAGGAGGTTCAAAATATTTTTCGTCACTGGATGCCAACAGTGGCTTCTGGATGATACCTTTAAATGAGAAATCGTCTAAATTGTGTACTTTCAACACACCTTTTGGTCGATATCGGTTTTTAAGATTACCTTTTGGTATAAATGCAGGACCGGAAATTTTTCACGCAGAGATGGTGAGATTGTTTGGTGATATTCCAGGCCTAGTCATCTATATTGATGATTTTTTGGTTCACTCCTCTACAAAAGAGGAACATTTGGACATTTTGAAGAAAGTTTTTGATAGGGCCAGGAAGGTCGGGTTAAGATTTAATAAATCCAAATGTAAAATGCTAAAATCCGAGATAAAGTTCTTAGGACACATTTTTGATGAGAAGGGTGTTAGACCTGATGAAGAAAAGATTAAATCTATTATTAATATGCCAAAACCAAATAATGTAAAGGAGTTACAGCGTTTTTTGGGTATGGTAACATATCTGGGCTCATTTATAGATAACTTGTCTGCGAAAAATAAAAATCTGAGAGAGCTGTTGAAGAAAGAAATTCAATGGCACTGGTCTTCCAATCATGAAAAAGAGTTTGAGAATCTCAAACGTGAAATTACAAAATCTCCAGTTCTGACATATTTTGATTCCAAAAAAGAATTAACTTTGTCAGTTGATGCCTCAAAATTTGCTTTGGGTGCTACAATAATGCATGAAAACCATCCAATTGCATATGCATCAGTGTCGTTAACTGATGCACAACAAAGATATGCACAAATTGAAAAAGAACTTTTTGCCATACTTTTTGGATGTACGAGATTCCATCAATTCATTTATGGCTCAAAAGTTTTGGTTGAAACAGACCACAAGCCCCTGGTTAATTTGTTTGACAAACCTCTTTTTAAAATACCAAACAGGCTACAACGGTTTATGCTGCGTTTGCAAACTTATGATATATCAGTTGTCTACAAACCAGGAAAATACTTGCATATCGCTGATACCTTGTCAAGGGCTCCACTAACGGAATCTAATTTTACGGAAATGGATAAAGAAATTTCACTTCACTGCAATTTTATAGCCTCACATTTAGAGGTGCCATTTTCAAATATTAAAGATGTAAAAGAGCATTCTAGAAATGATGTTACTTTTATGAAAATAGTTGAATTTGTTAAAAACGGTTGGCCAGAGAATAAGAAAAATGTTGATCAGGATGTAATGCCATACTACAAGGTCAAAGATGAAATTTCTATTTTGGATGATATTTTGCTAAAAAATAATCAAATATTGATTCCGAAATGTTTACGTAAATCAATTCTTAACAAAATTCATGAGGGCCATTTGGGGATTCAACGATGCAAGAATTTGGCAAGGCAGTCAGTTTATTGGCCAGGCATATATAATGACATTGAAAACATTGTCACCAATTGTGAAAGTTGCATGCGATACCAGAATTCTAATCCAAAATCTGAAATGACACCTCATGAAATTGTTGATATACCATGGTTTAAGCTGGGTTGTGATCTATTCGAATTTAGAAAGAAAATGTATATACTCATTGTTGACTATTATTCGAAATATATTGAAATCGAATCATTGAATTCGGGATATAATAGTTCACAGGTTATTTCGAAATTGAAATCAATTTTCTCGCGACATGGCATTCCACATATTTTGGTGACAGATAATGGTCCTCCATATAATTCCAATAATTTTAAAGCATTTTGTGATGGTTGGGGAATTGACCATAAAACGTCGAGCCCATATTTACCCAGATCTAACGGTTTGGCTGAACGTTCAATCCAAACAATTAAAAAATTAATGTTGAAATCTTACGAAAGTAAATCAGATCCGTATGTAGCATTGCTGCATTATAGAACAACACCTAAGGGCAATTTGCCCAGCCCTGCAGAATTGCTTATGTCAAGGTCTCTCCGAACAAAAATACCATCTGTCACGGAAAATTTCCAACCAAAACTGGTAAATCAAATGGAATATAAGAAAAATTTAAATGCAAATATTAAAAAATCTTCCGAATATTATAATAGGGGAGCGAAAAAAATTGAACCTGTTAAGAAAGGAGACAATGTCATGTTTAAGAAAACACCTACAGGCTGTTGGTTTCCTGGTCAGGTAATTGAGAATTGCAAAGAGCCAAAATCATTTTTAATAAAGGATACTAAGGATGTTATATACCGAAGAAATCAACAACATATAAAGACTTCTGGAAATATATTAGTAGAAAATCAAGAAAATAAGGATTCGGAATTAACCGATACAGTAGGAGTTGAATTAAATAATGATGATGGTATTGAGGGTAATATTAATGAAGAAAATCAAAGTAAAAAATGCTTAGTGAATCCTGAAGTAACTAATGAAAATAAGTATATTACAAAAAGTGGCAGAATTGTAAAACAGCCAGAAAAATTAAATTTGTAAGCTTTAAAATGAGACAATTATTTTAAAATTTTTTTTTATGTATTAATAAGTACTTTACTAATATACCATAAGTTATATATTATTATATTATTATATCTCAAAAAGGGGAGATGTTGTATATGTAAACACCCTCTTTATTTAATGTGTAAACACCTTATTAGTTTTAATAAAGATGCTTGATCATACATCAATCATATGCTTGTGTAAACACACCAAAACATAAAGTATATGATTGTTGTATATAATCATTCTATTAGAATCAATACAGGTATGATTTCTGCTCATATTATATTTGCATGTACAAAATTTTGTGTTGATACCGATATATTTGAGGGAGTTATTAACGATAAACAAATTTCCGGGAATATATACCTTTGTATGGGGGCTATGGGAAATATTGGATCGATTGTAAAGATTTTGAACATAATTGATCACTCATAACTTTTTACGTTGTGAACCGATTTTGCTGATTTTCAATACCAAACTGCTTAGAATAACAATAAATGTTTTGGGTGAATTTGGTTGATTTCCTTTGCTTAGTTTTAACGTGAGCGTGTTTTACACAGACAGACAGACATACGGACAGACGGACATAGCTAAATTGACTCAGAATTTCATAAGGATCCAGAATATATATACTTTGTTGGGTCTTAGAAGAATATTTCTTGGTGTTACACACGGAACGACAAACTTATATATACCCTCTATCACCACTGATGGTGGTGGAGGGTATCAAAAAGTTAAATTAATTTAAGTAAATGTAATTTTTCCAAATTTAACAGAGTGCGATATTAAACCTTAGGGCTTTCTAGTAGACAATATAACAAATTTAATTATTCATTTCACACGCAAAAATATTATTAAATTATGTTTCTTTTCAAAGTACAACCAAATTCGAATACACTGTATTTAGAACAATTAGTTGCAAAATCGTCACATACTTCATAAAATATTTGAAAAAAAAAAAAATCGAAAAAATAATTGTTTTAAAATGCTTGTAGTTCAATTAAAATCGAAATGTCAAAATAATTTAGAAACTAATATTTAGCATGAGTATTACAATATTTTTCCGCAATATATACAAATTAAATTTGTTAAGATTTTTTGAAAAAATACTTTTTTGACCACATGAAAAAAGAAATCTTTAATAAAAATAACTAATTGAGACGTGCCATGACAATTGTTAAAAAGCCGGTATACACAATTGTAGAAACAATTGCATACATACATATTATTCGTACACTAGATGAGAGCAAAATTACTAGTATTGAGTATAGCCGTTTTTGGTCAATGTGGAATAGTTAAAAGATAGTAGTAGGAAAGATTGGAATTTATATGATCCCCCTTCTACCCTACATATGATCCCCCTTCTACCCTACATTAACTTTGTATATCGTCACCTGAAAAGCAAACGGCAAAAATTCAAAATCGATTTTATTGTTGATTCTAATATATTGCATCAAAACAAAAGTTCACAAACAAAATTGGGCTCCTCGAACCAAAATTTGGCCCTAGGCCCTATCTCCAAAAACATTTAAATATTAAGGGTAAAAATTCCAATTTATCCATTTTTCTATACGCCATTGTCAACTACCATAACAAATGATAGGTTTCATTATTAAAGCCCCCTTCACACGAGCACACAAGTAATATGAATCTGTCAAAATTTTGCGTAGAAGAGAACGGATGGGATCGTCTAAAAGCAATATGTAACAAAATCATCACACATTGAGAGTAAATACGGGTGGAAAATTTACCAGTGGTATGGCTCTCTTCATTTTTTGAAATGATTCAAAAAACAAGCAAGTTGGATTAGATCAGGGATGTATTTTTACTTTGTTATTGTTTTATACCAATTGTGTAAACACAAAAAATATAAATCGTACGACTTTTATTCTCTTTTTTGTCATACGGATGAAATTTCATTTTACTTTTTCATTAGACTTGTCGTACGTAAAGTGTGATCGTCTGAAGGGCCCTTAAACAATTTGTTTATTACATAACAAGAAATCGCGTTGATAGAAACAAACTTTTCAATTTAAATAGTTTTTTGCTTCTCATGTAAAATTTTTAAAATGTTAGATAGGTCCGTTTGCGATTTAGAATACGATATACTATCGTCCATGTGATGAAACCGCATTTCGCCTAACATTGGCGATTGTGAAATCAAAAAGCAAAATAGGTGTGATATAGATCACAATCGCAAGAAGTTTGGCTATTTCAAATCTCAAACATTTACTAAAGTGAACTAATGAATTTTGTTTAATATGTGATTTTAAAAGCTAAACATATGATTGAAAAATTAAATCAGACATGTTTTCTTCTAGTATTGATGAAAACTGATAACGCTTTTTAATAATTATATTTAAAAATAAGAATTTCAAAAAAGACTTGAGGCCTAACTATAATATGCTTAAACAAACTAAAGTCAGCTTAAGCAACTGTGCGAACACATATAAAATGTACAGTGTCTCTCATAAGTATTTGAATTTAGGTAAACTATACAAAGAAACTAAATTTAATAATATATTTTGTGTGCAAAAAAAAATTAAATTTGTTATATTGTCTAGACAGTCCTTAGGTTTGATATCACGCTTTTTAAAACTTGAAATATTTACATTTACTTAAATTAAATAAGCTTTTTTTAAAAAAGTCCATAAAATTGTCTCACAAAAGTATACGAATTTTTCCTGTATTTCATATTTGATCATATTATACGAAACACAAATTTTAGAATCGAGTGGTTTTTATGCTTTAAATTGTTTTAAGGGGTTACAATCAACCGAAATGATTGGTAAACAATTTTTGGGGATTTGTACCCTCTTTTTATGTAATATCATTAAAATGGCGATTTTTGGCCATATTTGTAGTATTTTCTCTTTTTTCCAGAGATAGAACCAAAATTTGATATTGGGATTTAATAGACCCCTTGGAGTATCTAAAAATAGTATTTTTTGTTACAAGAATCTGTATTTAAACGATCCAAGATATATTATTGATATCATTATTCTGTCGCTAATTCAATATATTGGAACTTAAGTCCATTTTCATAATACTGGGGTCAAAAATTTTCGGGGAAAGTTTTCTTGTATATATTCTTTTAGATTTCAGCTTTTATATATTTTAAGTTTTCAATGTATTGTGGAAGTGTACAACTCCAAAACATGCCTCGAAGAAACGCCACTCAATATGGTAGAATCATTATTTTTATATACCAATAACCTCCAGGCTGCATGCCACTATATCATTATGGTCTAACTCAAAAATATCGATATCTGTTTAAATATTGATTACTATGATCAAAATAAACCCAAAATTTTGGACTTACAGTGTTATTGTAATGGGCAACATAAGCGTGAAAATTACGAATAGTAAAAACTTAAATCTACTGTATAGGATGACGTTTTGCAAAGGCATGTTTTGGAATTGTATACCGATATAATGTATTGAAAATTTAAAATATATTAGTGCTAATATGTACATGAATGTATACTAGCTAACTTTGTCGGAAAATATCGACCCTAGTGGTACGAAAAGGGACTTAAGATCCATACAATTCAATTAGAAACAGAAGAACGATTGATAGTAACCCCTTAACACAATTTTAAGCAAAAAACCACTCGATTATAATTTTTGTGTTTCGTATAATATGGTCAAATATGAGATACAGGAAAAATTCGAATACTTTTGTGAGGCCATTTTATGGACTTCTTTTTAAAAAAGTTAAATCAATTGAGGTAAATGTAATTTTTCCAAATTTTAAAGAGTGTGATATTATACCTTAGGACGCTCTAGACAATATAACAAATTTAATTATTTATTTCACACACAAAAAATATTATTAAATTATGTTTCTTTTCAAAGTACAACCAAATTCGAATACTTATGTGAGACACTGTATGTGACAAACTATAACGTACTTAAGAGAGTTTCGTCAAGTTTTGTCAAATTTTATTTGCTTAAGCAAAGAGCGATACTGACAGCACATTACGTACGGAATCAATTGTTTGTTTATTATACACAAAGAAAATAAAGAAAAAAATGGAAAGCTACAAGAAAATGAATTTATTTCAATAAAATATTTTGAAATATGTATTTTTTTTATTACGTGTGTCATATAAATGTGCAAATAGAGCTAAATTGTTTTGAATGCACGTAAGTACACCTAAAAGATTCCTCGGATTTTCTTAAGAATTTGAGAGACTTTTCGTTCGATTTTGACATTACCTTAAGCAAGCTTATGCACATTATAGTTGGGCCTTTGGATTTTTCTCATAATTTTTGTTTTCGTTTTTATTGACGATTTTCCTTTTTATTTTATTTCGAAAACAACTTAGAAAAATTTCTAAACGCAAACAAAACGCGCGAACTCCAACACATACTTAAATAAATTGGGCGATTTTCAAATCGTATGCGATTTTATAATCGTGCGATTGTCATCACATGGGCTTATGTATGTACAAACATTAGATAATGAAACACTTACATGACGTTGTTAAAAAATGAAAAATGAATGAGAAATTCATTTGAAACAGTTTTTATTATAATTTATTAACAAGTTTAGATAAATGGCATATCGCTTGACAAATAAAAACATTATGAAAAACAAGTGACCGATGTGTAAATTACATATTTGATGATAATTTATCAGGCTTGGGATATGCAAATCGCATTTTTTACAATACTTGAATAATTACAATTATTCAAATTAGAAATTCTTGTATTTAAATTATATATAATTGCTTCTAATATGTTACTTTATGCATTGTAAGATCAAAACCCGTAATATACACAAATATATAACATATTTATCTTTCATTCAAAAAGGTTTTATTTATCATTTTCCTGCTTTTTATTTTCAAAGCTATCGTCATCATGTTTTATTTCAGCCACAGTTTCTGGAGGATGTTCAAGAACATGATCTATTAATCCTATTTTTTTTGCTTCCTCTGGAGACATAAAATTATCACGTTCCATTCGTTGATATAATAAATCATAGCTTTGCTTTGTATGTTTCACATATATATTAGTCAACTGTTTTTTTAGTTTGACTATCTCCTCTGCCTGGATTTGGATATCTGTAGCTTGGCCCTAAAAATAAAAAATAGGTTAGCAATATTGCAAAATTTTATAATTAAACAAGTTAGAGTGCTATATTCGACTATGCCGAATCTTAAATACCCTCCACCAGCAAGCTACTTTTTATTAAAACCCATTTAACTATCTAATCTTTAGAAAACTTGGCAAAATTTTGGTTTCCGTATTGAGGGTATTAACATTTATGCATATGTCAAACTAATTTTAATTAGGTCCAGAAATATTTTTATTAATAGGCCAGTTCAAAAACATTTTAACAGAATGATTTATCTGTACTCAGAACATACTCATTTTGAATTTTATTTTTTATGAGAACTAAGACAACTTATGGACCGATCCGGAAAAAAATTCCGTAGAATATATATAAATACAAAATACACATTTGTGTCGAATTTTATCCCGATAACTTTGATTTGAGTAATTTTCGGAAATGGTCCTTACATGGGAGTTGTGACCAATTATCGACCGATAAGATAAGTTATTCGATGCAGAACTCTAATATGTATAGGAGCTATGACCTTACAGAAATCAAGATATCTTTATTTGATAATGAAATATGTGCGTTTAAGTGATTTTCTTGAAGTGGACCTTATATAGAAGATATTACCATATATGGACCAATCCGGAAAAATTTGGTAGAATGATTTATATGCTCACAAAACATATTCAAGTTTATCCCGATAGCTTTATTATTCAAAGAAATATATGCGTTTAAGTGATTTTCGTAAGTGGACCCTCTATGGGAGCCTATCCTGAAAAAATTTCGTAGAATGATTCGTATAAAGACAAAACATATTTGTGTCGAATTTTACCAAGATAACTTTATTTGACAATGAAATATGTGAGTTTAAATGATTTTCGGAAGAGGGCCTTATATGGGAGCTATGACCAATAATGGACCGATCCGGGGCAAAATTGGTATTATGATTTATATGTACACAAAACATATTTGTGTCGAATTTTATCCTTATAGCTTTAGAATTTAATGAAATATATGCGTTTAAGTGATTTTCGGAAGTGGACCTTATATTGGAGCTATGACCAATTATGAGCCTATCCGAAAAAATTTCGTAGAGTGACTCATATAAAGACAAAATATATTTGTGTCGAATTTTATCAAGATAGCTTTATTTGATAATGAGATATGTGCTTTTAAGTGATATTCGGAAGTGGGCCTTATATGGGAGCTATGACCAATAATGGACCGATCCGTAAAAAATTTAGTGGAATGATTTGAATGTACACAAAACATATTCAAGTCGATAGCACAAAACATATTCCCGATAGCTTTAGAATTCAATGAAATATATGCGTTTAAGTGATTTTCGGAAGTGGACCTTATATGGGAGCTATGACCAATTATGGGCCCATGCGGAAAAAATTTAGTAGAGTTATTCATATTTAGACAAAATATATTTATGTCGAATTTTATTACGATAACTTTATTTGACAATGAAATATGTGTTTTTAAGTGATTTTCGGAAGTGGGCCTTATATGGGAGCTATGACCAAAAATGGACCGATCCGTAAAAAATTTGTTAGAATGATTTGTATGTATACAGAACATATTTGTGTCGAATTTTTTCCCGATAGCTTTATAATTCAATGAAATATATGCGTTTAAGTGATTTTCGGAAGTGGACCTTATATGGGAGCTATGACCAATTATGGGCCTATCGGGAAAAAATTTGGTAGGGTGATTCATATTTCGACTAAACATATTTGTGTCGAATTTTATCAAGATAGCTTTATTTGACAATGAAATATGAGCTTTTAAATGATTTTCGGAAGTGGGCCTTATATGGGAGCTATAACCAATAATTAACCGATCCGTAAAAAATTTGGTAGAATGATTGGTATGTATATGAAACATATTTAACTCGAATTTTATCACAATAGCTTTATTCATCAATGAAATATGTACGTTTAGGTGATTTTCGGAAGTGGACCTTATATGGGAGCTATGACCAATTTTGGACCGACTGAGATCTACGTTGATGGTATGATTTCTGTTCATATTATATTTGCATGTACAAAATTTTGTGTTGATACCGATATATTTGAGGGAGTTATTAACGATAAACTAATTTCCGGGAATATATACCTTTGTATGGGGGCTATGGGAAATATTGGATCGATTGTAAAGATTTTGAACACAATTGATCACTGCCCTGAAAAAATAATGTGTGACAAAATTCATCATCACAATTAGAAAAAAAACGTAATTTTTTTCGAAGTAGTCTGAAATTTTTACTCATAACTTTTTACTGCTTAGAATAACAATAAATGTTTTGGGTGAATTTGGTTGATTTCCTTTGCTTAGTTTTAACGTGAGCGTGTTTTACACAGACAGACAGACAGACGGACAGACGGACATAGCTAAATCGACTCAGAATTTCATAAGGAACCAGGATATATATACTTTGTTGGATCATAAAAGAATATTTCTTGGTGTTACACACGGAACGACAAACTTATATATACCCTCTATCACCACTGATGGTGGTGGAGGGTATAAAAACACACAAAGTAGAATCAACATTATGGATAATATTACAATAATAACAATTACAGCTGATATTGTTAATCGAATTGGAAATATAACACACATTAAGCGGCATGTCCACAAGTAAAATTTTAAATTCGAGTATACATTTCTTTCATTTAGATTTCATTTACCTTGCGACAAAAATAATGTGATGTTGTCGCAGCAAAAACTTAATAAAAATTAAATTATTTTATTTATTTTATTTTATCAAAATCAAAATTTTTTTGGTGTTCATTTGCATTGTTTAACAGCTGCCCTCAGCGTCATGACAAAGCGCCGTCACTGCGTGGATCGTCCGTCTGTACGTGCATTCTCGTAAGATTAAAAATTGAGAAACCAAACACACAAAAAACAAGTAAGAAATTATAGTCGGGCGAGCCCGACCATATAATACCCTACACCTTTGACAAAAATATAATGTGATTTAGTTGCCATAATAAAGCATTTAAGTTGATTTGTACCTTGCCTTAGATATACATACTTAAGCCGTTTATTGTTGAATAAAATTGTGGACATTTAAATGAAATTTTGATGGGGCTTTTCATAGGGGCTAGGGTTATATGAGAACCTATTATTATGGAATTCGTGAGGGTCATCAAGTCTTGTATACAACTTGGTTTTTGCAGCTTTTGTCGAGATATGAGTATATTAAACATAATTAGGAACTTAAAAGCCATATTCGGCGGGTTCAGTTGTATGGGGGCTAGGTGAAATAATGGACCGATGTAAACCATTTTCAACAGGCTTCATCTACGGTACCATAAAAGATCATGTGCCAAATTTTATTGAATTATCTCCAAAATTGAGCCTGTAGTTTGATTACAAGGTTTAAAAGCCATATTCGGGGGTTCTGTTATATGGGGGCTAGGTGAAATAATGGACCGATGTTAAACATTTTCAATAGGCTTCGTCTACGATACCATAAAAGATCATGTGCCAAATTTCATTGAATTATCTCCAAAATTGCGACCTGTAGTTTGATTACAAGCCCTATTGGGGGGTTCAGTTGTATGAGGGATAGGTGAAATAATGAACCGATCTTAACCATTTTCAATAGGCTTCGTCCCTGGAACAATGGAAGATCATGTACCAAATTTCATTGAAAAATCGACTCAGAAAATGATTCTGAGCCGATTGGTATACTTTAAGGTGGGTGTAGGACCAATATTATTGTGCGTTACAAACATCAGCACAAACCCAATATACCCTCCCCACTAAAGTGGTGTAGGGTATAATAAGGAAGGGGTGGTCGACCTGATAGGTAAAGACAAACCGAACGTCAAGGTCAACGAGACAAAATAATGCTCATTAAAAAAAAATTTATTTCAATTAATGCTAATTAATTAATCGATATAATTAAATATTCCCATGTATGCTTTGAATATGTATTTGTAGTGACTTTTCTACATATTTTTCCTCACTGTTAGCTGTGTTTTAATTTTATTATTTTTGTTTATTTTGGCTATGTGCCCAGTAAACAATCAGAAATTTTATGAAATAATTCTTATACTTTATCAGAATTTTTAACAAATTTCTAAATTTCCTTTAGACATTTTACAAAATAATCGGCAAACTGTTTGTTAGACTTTTCTGCACATTTTCTGAAGAATTAAACGATTAACATCAGACTTGTCTGCACATTGTCGAAAGAGAATTTCAGTGTTACGACTATTATGAGACTAATCTGCACATTGACGGAGGACAATTTGTTTTTTTATTCCTATATTATTTTTTCGACATAAAGGAGAATAGTCTGTACATTTTCTGAAGTAAAATATGAAATGGCTTAAGAATTATATCCGATAAATCTGCACATAATCTGAAGAGAATTGTTTTTGTAACTTCGTCAGACAATTAATATAAATAAATTTCATTATCAAAAAAATTACATGATTTTGTATGGTTTAATTTTATAATTTTAAATAGATGTATATAATTGACTCTATTTTCGTATATAATATGTAAGTAGTATGGTTTAATTTTATTAATTTTAAAAATAACACTATGCGACAAAAATAAATACCTGGGAAGTGATACTATTTTTCTGCCAAGCACCTCCAAAATCTTGAGTTACGGGTTTTCGTACCTTTAGGCACTTATAAGTCAGTAACTTAGTTAAATCTGAACCGATTTTAAGTTTCTCCACGGATTTAGAAAGCAGAAGCTGAGAAGTAATCTGGAGACATATGTGTGATTTCATCAGCAAACATATTTTTATACCCTCCACCACCATCACTGGTGATAGAGGGTATATATAAGTTTGTCGTTCCGTGTGTATGTGTGATTTCATCAGCAAACATATTTTTATACCCTCCACCACCATCAGTGGTGATAGAGGGTATATATAAGTTTGTCGTTCCGTGTGTAACACCAAGAAATATTCATCTAAGACCCAACAAAGTATATATCTGGGTCCTTATCAAATTCTTTAGCTATGTCCGTCTGT